TTCCAGCTGGAGCCAGAGGGACAGTGACGGTGTGCGCACACGAGGTGGCGCCAGAGCGCTCGGTCCCCAGAGCCTTCCTGTCCAGCACCCTCACAGGATTGGGTTTGATGAGCACACCTGTGCCCAACGCTCCCCTCTCTCTTATCAACACAAATCCAGCCGTTTTAGGCAATCAGAGGGGCTGACAAGCAGAAAGTAGCTGGAACTTTGCCAAATATGTTTGTGATGCACTAGGAAGTTCAGAGGACCTGGCGAAAGCTCATATGTTTTAGGAAAACATCACTGTTCCCAGTAGCCGTGAGATCCTCATTCATAGTTTATAGGTATAACCTTTTCACTGTTATCATTTGTTCTTTTAAAAAAAATTTTTTAATTTTTTTTAAAGGTTTCGTTTATTTGAGAGAGAAAGAGCATGAGGAGGGGGAAGCAGCAGACAGAGGGAGAGAGAGAAGTAGACTCCCGCTGAGCAGGGAGCCTGATGCAGGGCTCAATCCCAGGACCCTGGGATCATGACTTGAGCTGAAGGCAGACGCTTAACGACTGAGCCACCCAGGCGCCCCTGTCCTTTTTTTTCTTTTTAAGCCCTTAATTCATACTGTAATTGTTGGCTATGTCCTCTTGAAATAGATGTGCATCGGTGTGTATTATCTTTTTAAAAACAAGGAAACATGTTTACGCTTGCCGCACTGCACTGCTGTCCCAGTAAGCCAGCCCGTACCCCAGTCTTGCCAGTTGCAGGGTTGAAAGATGTTGCCGCGGAGGATGAGGCGTTTCCCTTTCCTAGCCTCCTTTTTTTGTTTCCCTTTGCCTCCGCCCTCCATCTAGTTTCTTTCCTTCATTAATTAACTATAAAGGAAGATGAAAGAAATTGTGGATCTGATAGCACAGAAAAAGACATCTGAAAATGAAATTCCCATGGCCAGAACCTTTCTTACGAGGATTCTGAGAAACTCCATGAGGTACAGTTTGGTTTTCAGTCCCTTTACTTCTGTGGTGTGATGAATTTGTCTGTTTTATGCTTCTGTTCATGGGGAAACTCCTGAAGTCAACACATTCCACATTTTGCCACCCAGATATTTTTCTTCATTAATTATGAGTTGTCAGAAGGCTTGTGTTATAAATGCTTTTCAGATTTCTTCCTTTTTCTTTTTTTAAGATTTTATTTATTAGAGAGAGACCAAGCATTAGCAGGGGTTAGGGGCAGAGGGAGAAGCAGATTTCCCACTGAGCAGGGAGCCCAACCTGGGGCTCCATCCCAGGACCCTGAGATCATGACCTGAGCCGAAGGCAGACGCTTCACCGACCGAGCCACCCAGGCGCCCCTCAGATTTTTTAATATTCTTTATTATGTAATATCCTTGAATGTTTTTGCCTGCTTGGAAAAATGTTTGCTCTCTGTCAAGTACCTAATGAGGCTCCTTTTGAGTTCTTTCTGTGTTGTTGATGGGGCCGTAAGCTGTCCAGAGCAAGCAGGTTCTGTCCCGCACTGGAGAAGTGGAGAGTGGGAGAACCAGGTGTGGGTGGGTCTCCTCCTCACGCTGCAGCCTCCTCTTGGGGGCTCTGGAACATTTTCGTGGCAGCTCTGCGGATTTCCGACTAAAATTCCCCTCTCACACCCAGGCTGTGCAGCCAAAACACTAAGGCCCCATGGGGTGGTGGGGACCGTGCAGTAGGAGCCTGGGCCAAGGCTGCGGATGACGTTCAGGAGCCCTGGCAGGAGTGGGCTGCAGCCTGTTGGTCGAGGGCATCACGTTCCAATAATGAGGACCCTTAGCTGACTTCGCAGACACTCTGAGAGGCTTGGAGGAATGAATACGCATCTACTGGCCTTAGTGCATGTCCAGATGTCTGTGTTTAGGTAAGTGAGTAAATAGAAGCGCTCTACACTCTGTGTGACCCCGCTGAGCTGGGCACTCACTGAGCTTCTCTCCAGTGTGTTCTCTTTTCCGCAAGGAGGCTGAGGGCTGTGTGCACAGCTGTGCTGAAACAAGAAAGACAGAAGAGTCTGTCTGGGGTCCTGCTGGTGGCTGAGGGGACAACAAGATTCATTTAGTACTGCGAATAAATTTTGAAGAATAAGGGTTAATTCATATTTTGAAGCCCGTGATTCTCGTTCTGCATTAGGGTGAGTTCTGCATTAATAAAAATTTTTGAAACTATATTCATGTCCAGATACAGTGGGAAGCACCCTGGAAGCGACAGTCTAAATCATGCAGAAGTCGCCGTGACTTATTTCCACTCTGCACTCCTGTCTTGGCATGGAGTTGTCCTTTGTTTGAGGTCCCTGAGTCGTCTGCGTTCTTTTTCAGGAAGAATGAGGTGACCTGGAGGCCTCACTCCTGGCATGCCGCCAAGTTCTCCGATCGCCACCCTGAGACGTCAGCATCACTGTTCCCCTCCGCCAGTGCCTGCCCTTCTTGGCACAGCCGACACCACGCCAGGTAGGCACTGGTTTCCCACCGGGATGGACAGGGTTCGACGGTGTTCATGACTTCCCAGCCCTGCCGTGATAGCACCTTTCTCCACTTCAGAATGATTTTGTTTTTCTGATGAGGAAAAGCCACTAACACCATTACTGGTGAAACTCTGTAAATTTTTCAGAGTAGGTATGTGTCCAACCCTTGAAAACAAAAACTGAAATACCAAGAGCAAGGATGAGCAAGTGTACTTTCTCATTATGTCGCTTAATAAATGGGGAGCCTAGGGACTTTGCTTTTTGCGCTGAATCCCTTTGGGCCAGCTGAGTTGGTGATTCTGACCTGAGTGGAACAGCTGCCACGCCACCCACTTGCCCACAGCCACCTCCATTCTTTTGAGACTTTTATGCGTAGATTGGAGGGCAGCAGCTACTTACGGGTTCAGCAAATGTATTTCACAGAGGCTCCCAGACGGTTCTGTTAAGCATCAGCACCCTCTCCCCGACCCCCAGGGCTCTCCTGTGGTGGGGGTATAGAGGAAACCAAGGCTTCCCAGCCCACGTGCCAGGGTGGTATCCAGCCTTGAGGGCCCAGTGGTGTTTTCCCACTGAGCGTGAGACCAAGATGATGGGAGTTGTAGGTCAGGGGAAGGAGGGGGAGTTCTGGTCGACCGGGTGGCCACATTTCAGAGTCAGAAGTGCTAATGTATCAGGCAAGCATGTGGCAGCACCATGGTGGTGTTGGCTTCAGGAGGCTCCTGCTAGTCATTCATCACCTTGGGTCAGTGGCCAGTGTCCTCACAAGTGTCCTATTAAAAGGATGACGGTATCAACAAGTAGCATGGGTTTGGGTATGTGTGAGTGCGTGTGTAAGTGAGTGTATGTATCGGTGCACACTTAGGATTTCTGCACGTGTGTGTGAACATGTGTGCACATGCACTTGAATCTATGTGCCTGTGTGTTTGTGAGTGTGCGTGCGTGTCTATTCTGTAAGTGCATTTGTGCCAGTGTGTATGGAGCTAATGTAACCATCTCAGAATCAATTTTTTTAAAAAAGATTTATCTGTTTGAGAGAGAGAGCAAGTGCGAAAGCACGCTCATGCGCACAAGTCAGGGGCAGAAGGAGAGAGAGAATGTCAGGCAGATTCCACGTTGAGCACAGAGCCCGACGTGGGGCCCAGTCCCAGGACCCTGAGATCATGACCTGAGCTGAAACCAAGAGTCGGACACTTAACCAACTGAGACACCCAGGTGCCCCTCAAAATCTATTTTGATTGTTAGTAAATACTGGTCTGCTGTAAAATTATGAATTACTTTTATGAAGGAAATACATCTCCAATGCATTACCTACTTAAAGTGACAAGAGATGGTGGTATTTGGAGTCCTGAGTATTTTTGAGAAACCACAGATTATCAGGTGAGTACTAAAACTTAAGTGAAAAGTGAGCCTTTGGGGACTCCAGAGTGGCTCAGTCGGTTGGGCTGCTGCCTTCGGCTCAGGTCGGGATCCCAGGATCCTGGGATCGATCTCCGCGTCGGGCTCCCTGCTCAGCGGGAGCCTGCTTCTCGCTCTCCTCCCCGCTTGTGCTCTCTCTCGCTATCTCTGTCACACTCTCTCTCTCTCTCTCTCTCAAATACATAAATAAAATCTTTTAAAAAAAGTCTTTTATTTCATTATTGAAATGACTTCATGTAATAGGAATTCCATTAAGCCCATTTGATGGTTTCTTGATTAAAGAAGTACATATGCTGCCCACATCTCTGTGGAAACAGTGCTTAGCATTATTCATATCTTCTTGGACTTAAGATCTCATGGATGAATCATCTCCAGAGCACTGGTGGGAGGGTGGAGCGGAACGTGCTCCATTTTTGCCAAGGTCACCTGCTGTGTCCTTACAGGGAAGGGTATGAAACCCAAACAGTCCCCTCCCTTCAGGAAAATTTCACTGTCCCCAGTAGCCTTGAGATCATGGTTCTCCCCAAACCTAAAGTAGCAACAGTTGTGGGTAGTAGTATCGTTTTTTGTTTTTTACCTTGAAGCATGAAGTTTCCAGCTTTGTTAAACTTCAATGAAAGCATTTTCAACGTGTCTGGATAAAGAGCTTAGCCATTGAAAGCCATTAGCCTCCTATATACGCTATTACTACCTCGTAGAATACTGGATTCCTTAATGAACATATCACCCAGCTTGTAGCAATAAACCTGATTGTGCATTTCCTTCTCTTAGACCCCGTCCTACTTGTGAACCTGTATTTTTGGCATTCGGGTATAGCTCCGATGAACTCTGTCAGGCATAATTAGTCCCCTGCGCCCAGCAGTGTTTGGTTTTGCTGAGAAAGTCTGTCGCTGGAGTTCTCTATCACATAATGCCTTTAATATTTAGGTGTGGAAAAGTCACATTATCCCTGGACTTCCATTTTTATTTATTTTTTATTGTTAAGATTTTATTTATTTATCAGAGTGAGAGAGCACAAGCAGGGGGAGCGGCAGAGGCAGAGGGAGAAGCAGGCTCCCCGCTGAGCAGGGAGCCCAATGCAGGACCCGATCCCAGGGTCCTGGGATCATGACGTGAGCCGAAGGCAGATGCTAAACCGACTGAGCCACCCAGGCGCCCCTGGACTTCCCCCTCTTAATGTGAAAGTTGTTGTCATTTGGATGGCTCTTCTTTGTTAGTCGTCCAGACAAGAACCCTTTCATCCGCTCAACCTTGGGGTCCACAAACCTGCTCTGTAAAGGGCCACGTAGGAAATATTTTAGGCTCCCTGGGCCCGCGTCTGCTGCAGGTCCCCAGCTCAGAAGCAGTCACAAACTGTGTACACGAATGACCACGACTGGGTCCCGGTCACACTTGATCTGTGAGCAATGAGATTTGAATTTCTTGTCATTTTCATGGGTCACAAAATGGTCTTTTGATCCCTGTCCCCCATTCATTTAACTCACACCTGTTCTCATGGGCTGTGGTCTGCCAGCCACCATACTTAGTGACGGAGGATGAAAGCGTTCACATAGGCATTTCCTGCCGGTGACCGCTGTGGACTTTGGCGCCCCGAGCGCAGGACTGTGCGGCTAGTGTGCGAAGGCATCTGTCTGGGGAAAGAGCATCAAGTGAGTCAGGCTGGGTCTCTTCAGCCTCTTGTCAGAGTTGCTCTTTAAAATGCTATGCAGGGGCGCCTGGGTGGCTCAGTCGGTGAAGCGTCTGCCTTCGGCTCAGGTCAGGATCCTGGGGTCCTGGGATCGAGCCCCGCGTCAGGGTCTCTGCTCCGCGGGAAGCCTGCTTCTCCCTCTGCCTGCCTCTCCCCTCTGCTTGTGCGCTCTCTCTCTCTCTCTCTGTCCTTCCCTGTCAGATAAATAAATAGAATGTTTAAAAAATAAAAATTAAAAAATAATAATAAAATGCTGGGCAAAGGTCACATGTCAGGTCCTGTGACCCTGTCCTGGGAAGAGTTCTGGGCATCTGGATGTTTCCGCGCAGGGCCAGCTGCATTCATGGCAGTGCTGTCCTCATTTTTCCCTTCGCTGTTCCTTGATTCTAAAGCAGACTCTGCCCTGTGGTCCTTCCTTCCTAGTTCTTCGTCTCATGACCTGTCGGGCACGTGGGAGCACTCGAATCTGCAGCGGACCTCTGACCATTTTAGCTCGCTCGGGAGCGTCGACAGCCTGGACCAGCCTTCCCAGCCCTGCCCCTCCGGACGCCTGTCCGCCGCCAAGTCCAACAGCAGCATTGACCACCTGGGCGGCCAGAGCAAGCGGGACTCGGCTTACGGCTCATTCTCCACCAGCTCCAGCACGCCTGACCACACGTTGCCCAAGGCCGATGCCTCCTCTGCAGAGAACATCCTCTACAAAGTGGGCCTGTGGGAGGCCTCCAAGCCGGACAGCAGCCGGCCGGGCCAGGCTGTCAGCGATCCTCAGGGCCTCGAGGAGAGGCTCGGGTCGTTCCCGGCCCGGGTCCCCCGTGACGGTAGCAAAAGCCCCAGGCCAGAGGACAGTGCTGAGGCGAAGCTGGCCACCTCCGGGAGGTCAAATTTTGGGCCCGTCTGGTATGTCCCTGATAAGAGAAAAGCACCTTCGTCCCCTCCTCCGCCCCCTCCCCCCCTCCGCAGTGACAGCTTCGCGGCCACCAAGAGCCACGAGAAGGCCCAGGGCCCTCCATTCTCAGAGGCGGCCAACGTGCAGCACTTTCCGGGCCTGAGCCGCGCCCAGCCCCGCAGTGACTGGAGAGCAGAAGCCGCCGATCAGCCGTGGAGGCTGGTGCGTCCCAGCGGCGGGAGAAGAGCCGGGAGCTCAGGCTGCACACCGGACATCCCCCTGGACAGCGGGGTGCTGCCCTCTGACCACAGGGCAGGCGGCCTCCCAGGGGCTCCCGGCCGGCTGCAGGCCTCTCTGTCCGGCACGGATGTGCGTTTCCCACAGTCCTCCTTCGGCTGCCAGCACGCACGCCAGGACAGTGCCGAGAGCCCCTTCTGTCACGGGGGCCCCACGGCCACCACGTCACTGAGGGAGCAGCCCCGCGTGGCCGTCCCAGGGGGCCGCCAGGAGCCATCTGCTGACCGTTTCCAGGAGCACAGTCCCGCTCAGGTCGGGCGGCCCAGCGCCACCAACCAGAAGGGGGACAGCGGTGGGCAGGGCCGCTACGACTGTGTGGTCAGCAGACAGTGCCCTCAGGACGGCACCCAGGCGGCGCAACTCCACCAGCAGGCCTGGCATCCTGACGTGGCTCCAGGTGCCCACGAATCCCCTACCCCACAGCCGCTGGGCCAGGAACCCCGGAGTTCCCTGCCGCAGCGCGAGCAGGCCCCGGGCCCCCACGACAGAGCCCGGGCTGACCCGGCGGACCGAGGAGCAGAGAGCCGCCCCGCAGGCAGTGAGGCCGCACCACGAGCCAGCCACGTGGAGAAAAGCGGTCTGAAGAAAACCGCAGATGGCCTCCTGTGGGCCGACGGAGAGAGCAGCAAGATCTCTCCTCAAAAGACACCTATGTTGCACTCACTGGCCCAGGAGGCGCCGCGCCGGCCCGAGAATGGCCCAGATGCGGGTACAGAGAGGCCGCCACCATTTGACGCCCAGGTGGGCAAAGTGACACGGAGGAGCGACCGGTTTGCCACCACCCTGAGGAACGAGATCCAGATGCGACGAGCCAAGCTGCAGAAAAGCAAAAGCACGGTGACGCTGACTGCGGCGGGGGAAGCCGAGGAAGAGGCCGGCGGCGGCTGGAGGGTAGAGCGCAGAGGTGCCACCAGCCCCAGCCCAGAAGGGTCCTTCACGGGCACCTACAGAGACCACGTGAAGGAGGCCCAGGCCCGGGTCCTGCGGGCCACGTCGTTTAAGCGCCGTGACTTGGACCCCAGCCCAGCTGAGCATTATGCAGGGCCACCAGAGCAGCGGGCTGAGGACCACAGCACAGCTCTGGACCCCGTCGCCCGCGTCTGGGAGGGCGGCCTGGCCAAGCCGCCCCCGTCTGGAGCGGCCGGGCCGCACGTTCCCCGCATTGGAGGCCGGAAACGGTTCACGCTGGAGCAGAAACTGAAATCCTACTCTGAACCAGAGAAAATGAACGAGGTGGGGCTCTCAGGGGATGATCGCCCTCACCAGCGCCCCGGGACGTCCGAGGAGACCGTGGGCACGTTCGCCGACAGGTGGAAGTTCTTTGAGGAAACAAGCAAACCCATTCACCAGAGACCTGGCCAGAGGCAAGCAGTCTGCGCGTTCCCTAAGGAGAAGCTGGAGAGGCCGCCGACAGCGGGCCATGGGTACGAGAGTGCGCAGCCTTGGCTCCAGAAGAGGGCCCGCACTACCTCCTTTGGAGAAAACCCCAGTGGGCGCAGAAGAGCGGGGAAGGTGGGAAAACTGGAACCGCCTGAGAGACTTGGGACCTTTGCTGAATATCAAGCCTCTTGGCGGGAACAGAGGACAGCTCTCGAAGCCAGGAGTTCCGGGAGGTATCACTCAGCCGACGACATCTTGGACGCGGGTCTGGAGCAGCACGAGAGGCTGCGGTACATTCATGGAAGGTCCCGGTCGTCGCCATCCACAGACCTCTACACACAGGTAAGCCTGGTGCCGCAAGCAAGGACAGAGCTGCCCCCTCCACCTGCCGTCTTACAGCACATAGAGGAGGCCCCCCAAAATAGAATGGCCCGATGTCAGTGTGACTTGTGTCCAGCTGTTTGAGCACCTCTGTGCTCCAGCTCTTGTGGCATCGCCTCGTGTGAAAGGTCCCTGGGGAAGATCGGTACATTCGTGGCCGCTGAAGTGCTGTCCTTGCTTGTGTGTCTCGAGTCCCCAGCCGCCGCCTCATCTCTTGCTTCAGCTGCCTTTCCCTGTGATTAGGGTGCCCCAGCCTTAACACCAAGCCAAGAATTTGGGGGGAGCTCCAGAAAATGGCAGGTTCTCCTCTGAAATGGAAAGCGGTACTTTCTGTAAAGGGGTAAGACAGTGTCTGATAGCCAGTCTTCAACCCTTGAGGCCATTTACAATTTCTAGTATTTGTTCTTTAAGGTTTGGGTTTTTGTTTTTTTCGAATATTTTTAGAGATTGCTCCAGGGCAAATGTAATCTAATGTGCAATGCATTAAACCGTTGCATTTTCTGTAAGGTACTGACGGTAAAAGTTGGCCTTACGCTTTCTTCTAGAAAAGCAGACTGTTCGTAGCGATACTCAAAGTCGATTGCCACGAGTCGAGCTCCCTCTCTCTGCCTGTTCTGCCTCTTAAACCTGCCTTTATATGTTTCAAAGAAAATGCTTACAGCGAGAGATGCGGTTTCTTTTCAAAAGAACCAGTAGTGGGTTCAGGACACCATAGTCAGTACGTGCGTGTCCAGAGAACTGCGTGTTTGTTCGTGGCATCCTGGTGCTGGCAGGCCTGCAGATGCCGCACGTGTGGCAGTCTGTCGTGGCCGTGTCCCAGCCCGTGGCCCACGCAGCATGACCTCTGGGAACTTCATGCTTGCTCGGTCAGGAGAGAAGAATCCCAGACTCTGACAAGTCCTCGGGCTTGAGGCTTCGCCGTAGTGAGTTGCCACAGGCCGTATGTGAGTCGGTTTTTGCTTTGTTTCTGCCTTGGCCGGCTGTGTCCCATGGCCCTACAGGCCTCACGTCAGCCATCTGCTAGCTGCCCAGAACAGGAGTGGGACCTACGGTCTCATTCATTTGTTTGGTAGACCGGTTTGGAGAGCTGAGCTCGCCAGGCCCGTGGCCGAGTGTCAGGACGAGAGAGCAGGCTGCGTCATTGCCTCCGTGGTCCGGGCCCACAGGGCAAACCCACAATGAGGGGGTTCATAATGATAGATGTCTCAGAGAAGGCGGCTTGATGACTTGGTGTCTCACTGTGCTTGCTCTTGGCAGGAAGCTGCCATCGAACCCCAGCAGCAAGTGGGGGACCCTGGCGAGCACAGAGAACTTTCCTCTGCAGTCTGGGCCGAGGAAGGACATCCCCGTCCGAGGTAGGTGAATTTTGGATTGGGGGCTGCTAAGAAGATATCTCGGGGGTGGCCTTCTTGATGGAGGGTGAATGCTCGGTGAACGTGATGGGGCGTCTGTTTTTTGCCAAACCAGAGTGGCTGTTAGTGGACACAGCGAGCCGCGTGCCCGGGTGCAGACGGCGCCGTGCGCGTTGAGCTGAGCCCGCAGGCCTGCACCACGGGCAGGAGCACCCACTCCAGGGCAGCAACGCCTTCGAATGCCATCGTGGCGTGTTTCCGTTCTTCAAACGGCTGCTGTGTTTTCTGCACAGTAGGTTCTTCCTGTTGAGAAAATGGGAAATCCAGTGTCTTGTGCTTGAATGAAATGCTTTATCCAGAATGCTCGATTGAAGGGACCGAGTACACAGCTGGGTTGCTGGGGCGTGGTCTCCGCATCGTTCTTGCCTGGAAGGATTGTCAGTCAGGAAGGAATGGAGCCAGCCTTTCTAAATTGGGCTTATTTTGAGCGTGAGAATAGAAATCAATTCTGTGGGCTCCTCAAGAGGATCAGAGCGTGTGAGAGAATTGTGGACGGCCCGGTGTATTACCGTGCTGTATGCCATCATTCTAGAATGGGGCCGGTGTAGCTCTTTAGCTGTAGTGAGGATGGGATTTAGATTAAGTAGGTAGGTGGGTAGACAGACAGTGTCATCTTGCCCTTGATACGCATGAGGAGGGAGGGAGAGAAAAGCATAGATTACTGTAGGACCTGTGGTATCACCTTATTTTAAAAGGGCTAATAGAAGCATGGAAATGAACGTACACAGTTGGGTAAGTGAATGCAGATTTTTCCGTCGCTTTGAGAATGGTGATCAGTGTGATATTTAGATTTAAACACTTAACCTCATAAGGTTCTGTTGCAGAAATAACCAATTTAAGTGTTTGCTTTTAAGGGCCTTCTGTAATGGGGTCTTATTTCATTGGGCTAAAAACTTGAGGGCTGTTAGCCTTATGCAACAGCATCCAATCTTTACGTGGCTCTAAGGGGGCAAGAGTGGCGTTTTGTGTAGGAGGTCCCTGCCATTCACGGTTTGCATGGCTGAAACCAAGAATCCCTGGCTAAGAAGGAAGGGCCGTTGGATAATACACCTACAAGAATGCGGCCGTTTCTGAGAAACACAATTAGAGCTTTACGCCGAGAGTCTCTGAGTGAGTCCCGGCCCGGCACGAGCTGAAATCTTCTCTCACAGCCCGCTCCCGGGCTCTGCTGCCGTCATGACGGTGCTCAGAGCTCGCTGCGTTCCTGCCCTAGGAACGGCACTTCCACTGCAGAGGACTTAGCCCTTCTGCTGTGAGCGGAGTCCTGATGAATAGCTATAATGTACACTCTGTGTGTGTGTGTGTGTGTGTGTGTGTGTTGTAAATGGCCCTGTCAATAGCGAGAGGGTCAAGAAGAACAGCAGGAGCGACCACAGGCTTCCTTTATCGTAGCACACTGCACCACCACTCTGAAGAAATTAGTTCCAGAGCCTTCTGCTTTTGAGCTGCAGAGCCGGCAATTTTCAGAACTGTGTGCGCATTCAAAAAGTGGCAAGACTCCACGAAATTCCAGAACAGGAACATGGGAAAGCCATTCTCAGCTTTTTTTGGAGAATGTTTATTTTCTGAAGTATCGGTAAGAAATAGTGCACTTAAAACATTAAATCTGGGAATAAAAGAAATGAAAATTCAGGTCAAGGACTCTCTTTTTTGCTCACCAAAACCAAAATCCTCTAATGCAAAGATTTAAAGACGCCTAATGTTTTGCATAAATTTCAAACAATATAAACATGTGTATAAAAAATATGAGGGGCGCCTGGATGGCTCAGTCGTTAAGCATCTGCCTTCGGCTCAGGTCGTGATCCCAGGGTCCTGGGATCGAGCCCCAAATCGGGCTCCCTGCTCAGCGGGAAGCCTGCTTCTCCCTCTCCCACTCCCCCTGCTTGTGTTCCCTCTCTCGCTGTCTCTCTCTCTGTCAAATAAATAAATAAAATCTTAAAAATTAAAAAAAAATATATGAATTACTGGGGTACCTAGTCAGCTCAGTCAGTAGAGCGTGTGACTCTTGATCTTGGGGTTGTGAGTTCGAGCCCCACGTTAGGCACAGAGATTACTTAAAAATAAAATCTTAAAAAAAAAAAGGAATTATGGATCTGATAACCGGTGTGGGTTAGTGAATGTTTTTCATTGTATTCTGTTGAGACAACATAATAGCATCAAGATAAGAGTTACTTGTTCATTCAAATCACATTGAGAACATTTTTGTGAGGTTCAAGATTCTGTCCTACATAAAGATATGTAGGACAAAGGTTCTGCTCCCAAAGGACCTCACAGTGTAGGTGGGAAGGAGAGACACCAGTACTTACCATAGAAATGTTGACACATAATTAGAATTTTTATAAGAAATAATGTGGAGCTTCAGAATCTTGGAGGAAAGAGGGTGAGGTGACTTCTGGCTGAGTCATAGGGGAGACAGGTGGTGTTTGAGCTGAAAGAAACCCAAAGCCAGGAGAGCAGATTTCATTGCATTTGCTTACTTCTAGCTTTTCCTGTGGCGAGCAGCCCCCTTTACCCACCCCGACTGGCTTCACCCCCTGGCTTCTCCTGTTCTCAGAGATTTTGCACCAGCTCTCTGAGCTCAGTATTGTGACCGACAGGAGTCTGCTTCCTGCGAATTCTCTCCCCCACTCACTGGGGTACCTCATAAGCTGGATGTAGCAGCTTGCTCGGGCTGTCCTAACCAAATACCACAGACTGGGTGACATCGACAATAGAAATTTATTTTCCCAGTCTTGTGGAGGCCAGAAGCCCAAGATCAAGGGGTCAGCGGGTTTGGTTTCTCCCAGGCCTTCTCTTCACGTCTTGCACATTAGCCACCTCCTCCCCGTGTCACCACGTGGTCTTCCCTTTGTGTGTCTCTGCCCAGTCTCTTGTAAGAACACCACTGAGATTGGATCAGGATTCACCCTGATGACTTCATTTCACCTTACTTACCTCTTTAAAAACCCTATCTCCAAATAGTCACGTTCTGAGGTCCTGGGGGTTCGGACTTCAACTTACAAGTTTTGGGGTATACAATGACTCCATAACCCTGGGAGAAATGTCCTTTCTGCCTTATACCTTGTAGCCAAGGCTGTCAGCTGCCTCAGTGCTCTCAGGAAGTATATCCCGTCGTTGAGCTGATGGAGCCACACCTGATGTGGGAGCATTTAAAATAAAGGGGAGAGGGAGGCTGCCATCCTTGAGTGTGGCTGGTGAGGAGAGGAATTCGGCAAAACCTCTCCGAAGGGTGTTTTGGGGTTCAGTTACGTGAAGCCCTGCTGTGGCAGGCACCTTGTGATTCAGTGATGCCACTTTTAAGAGTTGACCTTCCGCGCGTATGCCCGTGTGGAGGCATTCTCCGCAGAGGCGGTGTGAGGAGGTGGGTGACTCTGACGCTCACCTGGGAGATGTGTCTGTGGGCCCTTCCCTGCTTCTCATGGACCCACGCCCATGCTGCCTGCTGGTCTCCCTGCCTGAATGGCTGCTAGTGCCTCTGAACAGAATGGAGATGGAAATCCTGTCTTTGCCACTCCAGCACCCCCCTTGCAGGGGCTCCGATCTGACTCACAGTTCCCCTGGTCACCTTGCTGCACAAGCCAAAGCCCACCTCCCCAGTGCAGCACATTGCTCTCTGAGGGGCTCTGCTTTGACACTCTGGCATCAAGTTCTCGCCGCCTTTGTCTACCTCCTTGCTGGTCTCGGAATATAAATTAAATTATAACTGGCCCCATTCCCACACCATGCAATGGCTTCTGGTTGCACTTGGAATAAAGTGCAAGCTCCTGACCACGACCTGCAAGGCCCTGTATGGCCTTCTTTTTTGTGGGGCATCCTTTGTCACTCTCCTTTCCCATCCAGGCTCGGGACTTATTGCTACCTTTTCTACCCCTTGAACAAGCCAAGTTCGTTTCTCCCTCAGGGCCTTGATGCTTATTAAAAGGCTGTTCTTGGGGCGCCTGGGTGGCTCAGTCGTTAAGCGTCTGCCTTCGGCTCAGGTCATGATCTCAGGGTCCTGGGATCGAGCCCCGCATCGGGCTCCCTGCTCTGCGCGAAGCCTGCTTCTCCCTCTCCCGCTCTCACAAGCTCCTGCTTGTGTTCCCTCTCTCGCTGTCTCTCTCTCTGTCAAATAAATAAATAAAATCTTTAAAAAAAAAATAAAATAAAAGGCTGTTCTTGGAACAACACAAGCCTACCTCAGGACATCTACCTAGCAAATGGCAATTGGGCGTTCATACTCAGCTTGGGGAAGGCACCCTGTGTAAGCACAGTGACTGAAAGATGGATGGACCAGTTGTTGGGTGGATGAATGGATAGAGGGGTGGGTGGTGGGTAGATAAATAGATGCGTAGGTAGATGGATGAACAGGGTGGACTGGTAGATGAATGGATGGGTACCTGCTAACAGCCCTGGCTTCAGTCCTTGGTTATGATGAGTAAGGATCCAGTGGTACTTTCTGTGTGCTGAAATTTTATTTAAGATTTTAGTTTACACAATAGCAAGTGAAATGGGCTTGTCTTTCTATCCTGGCATAACTTTGAGAATCAAGACATAAACATCTCAAAATAGATTTGGTAGTGGACTTGTTTTCCAGTATCATATCTTAAAGCTTGCGAGAAAGCTAAGTTGTGCTGTGGTCAGTTATTGCTCTCAAATTTGAGAGTTCAATGAGTACTGTGTTCGGGGAGGCTCCGGAGACCAAGGGAGAAACGAGATCCGGGGGTGGAGCACGGTGGCTGTGGGCGCTGGCAGGTCCCATCCTCATAGCTGCCTTGCAGCCATTTCCGCCCTCGCCTTTAGGAGCTGCTGCCAATGGGCTGGCACTGACCTGCAGGCTTGTGTCTTGTTGGGACAGATGAGCGAGGAGGACGAGAGTGAGAATATACTCTGATAATCCCAACAACAGCTGTAAAATTGAATCCGTATGAAATCGAGTTCGTTAGGGAAAATGTGCTTCAATATAA